GCTATATGGACACCACAAGGTGCAATAGTTCACTATGTTATAATAACTGTCCGAATGGACTGACAGGGCTTTAGCTCCTGCAGACTACTGGAATAATCAGTTATACTTTTACTATACATAGTTGAGTGGGGATTATAGAGTGATAAATTGAAGCACGATAATAGGAACTAGTGCAGTTCAATTGCGTCCTTGATGTAGCTACATGTCAGAACACAGAATACGTACGCTTGGATCAGAGAAACCGCGATTTCTAGACCAATTAGTGCAACGAATACTGCGAAAGGAATTAGTGTTACTACAGCAACTAGGATGCTAGCTGTGAACAGTTGTGCCAGGAATGTTGATAGAATTTTCAGTAGTGTGTGACCAGCTACCATGTTTGCGAAAAGTCGCACTCCAAGTGATACTGCTCGAGCTAGGTATGAAATCAGTTCAATTAGAACTAGTAGAGGTACTAGTCCCAGTGGTGTACCTGATGGAATGAAGTATGCAAAGAAATGTACTCCGTGGATGCTTAGTCCAAGTACAGTTACTCCTAGGAAGATCATTACTGATAGTCCAATAGCTACCATAATTGATGTTGTTACTGTGAACCCGTATGGGATGTTCCCGTTAAGGTTAGCAATAACTACAAAGAAGAATAGACTGTAGATGAATGGTGTGTAGATTTCGTTGTTTGGTCCGATTTGGTCCCGCACCATTGCGTGGATTGAGGCGTAGGCGCTTTCTAGTGCGATACTCCATTTGCTAGGAATTAGCGAGTGTGAGTTGTTAGCTACAATGTGTAGTCCAAGAACAAGGAACACTGTGATAAGAGCGTATAGCCCTAGGTTTGTTAGTGATAGGTTGAAGTCCCCTAGGATAGGCGCGTTAAATTTAATGAACGGCGTTACTTCGAATTGTTCTAGAGGTGAGTTGATGAAGAAGTTGTTGTTGATCATAATGTGTGATAAAATGTGTAGATAAACCATAGTGTCTCAATGTGCAATACTTGAGATGTTCGACGAATGTCGTTTGGGGGGTTTTAATATTTGTTATCTTTCAACTGCTGGTTCCCCAACAGTTACCTTGTTTCGACTTCAGAAAAATCAGTGGTGGTCACTCGCAACAGTATCCTAGCCTTAATTACCCGTGAAGGTGCTTACGCTTGGTCTTAAAGACCTATATAAAGGACTAGTGTTCCATAACTTCATGACGTTAGACCTCTCTTCCCGTGACGAGCGGTTAGTACACTTCTAAGATTTGGTTTCACCGCGCCGTGGTGATGCGCGATTACTCGGAATTCCTACTTCATGTGCTCGAGTTCCAGAACACAATTCGTACATTAACATATTTTTATGGTTAGCTCCTTCTTTCGAGATTGCATCACTCTGTGTATGTTCTTGTGGCACGTCTATAGCCCACATCATAAGGGCCATGAGGGCTTGTCATAGTCCTCCTAAATTCATCTTTTGTCAAGATGAGGCTGCAAGGTGTAAACTCACAGTGAGGATTGCGTTAGTTTAACGGAATTAACCTTAGGCCTTACTAGCACTAACTGACGACAGCCATGCAGCACCTGTACACGTCACCCTTTCAGGTATTGACGGTATGCAAGATGTGGTAAGATTGTACGCGGATCATCGTATTAAATAACATGCTTCACTCCGTTTGCTTAGAAGCCGTCTAATTATTTGTATTTCGGTCATGCGACTATACTATACAGGTGGCAAATTTAACGCGTTAGCATCAAGACCAATAGGACACTACTAATCTTTAATTTGCATCGTTTACAGCCAGGAGTACTGGGGTCTCTAATCCCTATTCCTACCCTGGCCTTCGTACCTTACCGTCAGTCTTTACTTAGTACAATGCTTTCGCCGTTGGTTCTCCCCCTAGTATCATAAGATATCAGCCCTACTCTAGGTATTGTTTGTACTTCTATTAGACTCTAGTGATCACTTAGATCACCGGCTACGTACCCTTTACACCAATTTATAACTCCGATGGGTCGCCCTTTCTGTATTACCGCGTCTGCTGGCACAGAATTTGGACAGGACTATTAGGATCAAGATCATTATTCTAAAATCCGACATAAAGAATTAACTTTAATCTAGGTTACTGGTTCACACGTTTGTGCATTGACCAATATTCTTCACTGCTGCGCATCGATTGATGCTTTGGACTTTTTCATTTCCAATGTCGAGCTTAAGACTTTCATCCAACTCTTCCTCTCATAGGCTTGTTAAGCATTACCTCACCAACTACCTGTTAGGCATTGAGCGAATCTCAAGACGGGTTGCCCCTTTCTGTATATTTACGATTCCCGTAATTCTTGAGGTATCTTCCCAATGATACTGACCAGTACGCCATGTTTTTATTTCATACGACTTGCATGTGTTAAATACCTAAATACCCATCCGGAAGTGCCATAATTAAACACTTACTTTAAATACCTTTCTCTATAAAGGCTTGAGTGACACTATCCGAAGACAATATCACCTTATTGCATGTCGATTGACATATTTCTCTTTTAGTAACACGGATTAAAAAGGATTCGAACCTCTGTATGCTTGCGCATAACCGTATTTCAAGTACGGCGCCTTAAACCACTTGGCTATTAATCCTTGAATACATTACTTATTTCTTTTAGCTATTGAGTGGGGATTGTACTGTAATGCAATAATTTTACACTAGAGTTTTGTGATGTATACTCGTGTTACGAATAGTTGTACAAAGTATGGTAGTACATACACTGACATCACGTATGTAATTGTGAACAGTGCAACAAGTGCAAATGTAATTTGGTTCACAAAGTAGAATGCTTGTAGTTGAGGCATGAGTGTGATAATATCGTATAGGCCCTAGATTAAGGACTGTCGTTTAGACGTAATTGTTGATCGGGGGTTGTACTAATTTAAGATAAATAGTATTGGGAAGGGGGTTAAGCATGGTCTGCTTGAATGTAATATTACATTAGAAGAAGTGTATAAAATACAACTATGATTGTACTGGCATCATGTGGTATGCGTGGTACGGTGTTGGGCTAGGTAGTGTCCATTCTAGTGTTGTGCTAGAAGGTGATTCTTTAAGGTATGATGGTGTGCTCATAAAGAAGGCAGGTTGTGCCCACGGGTTAGCTACTGCAACTGGTTGGTTTGCTAGCATATCGTAAATCACGTATAGGAAGATCGCTGTTGCTACAACTGAAATGATTGAACCGATTGAACTTACGTAGTTCCATCCTTCGAATGCATCAGGGTAGTCAGGGATTCGTCGAGGCATTCCGGCCAGTCCAAGGAAGTGTTGTGGCATGAATGTAGTGTTTACCCCGATGAATAGTGTCCAGAAGTGCACTTGTCCAAGTGTTTCGTTGTACATTTTTCCTAGGATTTTAGGTGCCCAGTAGTAGAATCCAGCGTAAATTGAGAATACGGCACCCATTGATAGAACGTAGTGGAAGTGTGCTACAACATAGTAAGTGTCGTGCATTGCCACATCCATTGAAGCGTTCGCTAGAACTACTCCTGTTAGTCCTCCAATTGTGAATAGAGCTACGAATCCTAGTGCGAATAGCATAGGTGCTGTGTATCGAACTGATCCACCGTAACATGTTGCTAGCCATGAGAATACTTTAATACCTGTTGGTACTGCAATAATCATTGAAGCTGCTGTGAAGTAAGCTCGAGTATCTACGTCAAGTCCTACAGCGTACATGTGGTGTGACCATACAATGAATCCAAGAATTCCAATTGATGCAATAGCGTAAACCATTCCAAGGTATCCGAATACCGGTTTTCCAGAGAATGTTGAGATTACATGTGAGATCATACCGAATCCAGGAATAATCATTAGGTATACTTCAGGGTGTCCGAAGAACCCATTCCCTAAAACTCCTTGTGTTGGACAAATAACTCGTCAAGGAGCTCATGTACCACCGGTGTCTCGTATAGAGTCCTGTGGCCTTGTGCTTAGTAGGGAACCGACTGTACATTAAGCGTCATTTCAGACACCCACAAGTGACGCAGTCTGTAGCGATAGTTTAGACTACCGACGGTCTTAGTTTGAGTAACGTTGACCGTTTGCACTTGTGTAGCCAATAAGCAATAGCTTATTCTTACGCCTGTCGGGGTAAGCATACATAGAGGCTGTTATTTTCTAAAAATTGCACAGCATAAGATTGTATGGACTAGGATGGTGGTATATATGTGTATATATTCACTCTAATTGGTCTTATATAGAAAATTTACCTGCCTATTAGAGTTCCACAACTTGTCTCATAGTGAGATTACATTGAACCACATCCTTTATTCCCGTTGGGGTCGCTTACTTGAAGCTGTTAATTGTAGCTGCTTTAGCTTTGAGTACTGCTCGTGTAGATGGTGTTAGATGTTCCCCGTTAAGAATGGCAACATGAACTTCTCGCCATAGTCGGTACGATTCTGCTTTTTTAGTCATCAGAGAATGAGTATCAAAATATTGGAATACTCGTTCCATATTACGTGCACCGTTAACAGTGATTTCGTTAACATCCGGTTTTGTGTGTGGACGGACGGTACCACCAATAAGGGTAGTAATATGAGTTAGTACGGAAAGATTGATTAGACCTTTTTGTGCTAACATAAATCGTAGTCGGTATGCGAGAGAGTTGCCTAGAAACGAGCAAGTGAAACATCCTTCAGCATCTGTTACACCAAGTAACCATGAGTCATTGAGTGTAGGTGTTACTAATGTGGGAATGAATGATACTAATTTACCTCGCGACCGTTTGTTGAATGCTTCAAGAAACAGAGCAAAGCTAGCTTGTTTTAGTGGGAATACGAGATTTCCGTTAAATAGGGCAATTAGTAATGTCACACTAGCAATATCTTCCACGATGAAACGACTGGTATGTGGACCTTGTTTGATCACACGACCAAATCCTAGAGTGTTTTTGATGTACTCTAGCACTTGAATGTCGCCGGTCCCTTGTGTAATGACAAAGACAGATGTGCCTCGACTTGTTAGAGTGAAGCTACCATCTCCTTCAGCAAACCCGATAAACCATTCTAGGAATGATTGACTAGGTACTGGTCCACTTGGAAACCGTTGGTTGTACAGAGAGTAGAAAGCATTGAATTGGAAAGGCGTAGCCGCGCTGACCGGAGTTACAATAACAGAAAGTAATGCGCTTGTATTTAAGAATAGGTGTTGGTATAGTACCGGGTCACCTCCTCCTGCTGGGTCGTAGAATGAAGTGTTAAAGTTTCGATCTGTTAGAATCATTGTGATTGCTCCAGCTAGTACTGGAATACATAGTACGATAATAACTGATTGCATTAGCATAGCCCAAACGAATAGTGGCATTTTGTGTAGAGTCATACCAGGTGCTCGCATGTTGATGATTGTTGTAATGATGTTCATTGCCCCAAGCATTGATGAGATTCCTGATAGGTGAAGTGAGAAGATAGCTAGATCTACTGAACCACCAGAGTGAGCTTGCACCCCTGATAGTGGAACATACATAGTCCAACCTGTTCCCATTCCTTGTTCTACGAATACACTGGCTAGAATTAGCACGATAGCAGGTGGAAGAATCCAGAATGACACGTTATTTAATCGCGGAAATGCCATATCAGGTGCTCCAATAAGTACTGGAACCATGTAGTTGGCGAATCCAGCCATTGTTGGTACTACCATGAAGTAAATCATCATAATACCGTGAGCAGTGATGATAACGTTAAATAGTTGGTGGTCACCTGCTAGGAATTGGCTACCTGGTGCAGATAGTTCTAATCGGATAAGAATTGAGAATGCTGTACCTAGAAGTCCAGTAAAGATACCGAACATAAGATATAGAGTTCCAATGTCTTTCGCGTTAGTTGAGAATAACCATCGAGTAAGCATATTGTTATTCCTATTAAATCCTCATTGACGATTACCTTCTGAGGGTACAGAAGTATATATAAACAGAACAATGTTGTTCTATGCTTTTATAAACATTTTCAGAATTCTGGTTAATGACATAGTTAGTGTTATCTTACACTAACTAATTATATTATGCTTACGTATCTTTAGATTAGAGCGGAGCGAGGTACGATACTGCGTGAGCAGTAGAATAGTACCGAGCGGTACTGGGCTATACTATTATTTAGTCTCATAAAAATGCGTTAAGCTTTTAGAATTTAGTGCGGCTTCGCCCTCTTTTTTATCTCTATTATATGCTTTTAACTGCAGAAATAAATAATTATCCGGAAAAACACGATTTAGCATATTATTATTCTTCAGAAGGGGAGGGTGCTTTGTTACAGTGTCATGATTTCTATTGAGTGGGGATTATAGAGATGATAATGAGGTGAACAAAGTACTAGAATACTCCGTCTGAACCCCACCAGTACACTGCTGCGTAAAGGAATAGCCAAACAACATCAACGAAGTGCCAGTACAGGATAGATGATTCTAGTCCCATGTGGTGTTCTGCTGTGAAGTGGTAGTTAATGATTCGGAAGAATGCTACTGCGATGAATGTTGTTCCAATGATAACATGGAATCCATGGAATCCTGTTGAGAAGAAGAAACATGATCCGTATACTCCATCTGCGATTGTGAAGTCCGCTTCCATGTATTCCAGTCCTTGTAGTGCTGTGAACATTACTGCTAGTAGGATAGTTAGTCCTGCTCCAACGATAGCTGCTCGTCGGTTTCCTTCGATAAGGGCGTGGTGCGCGTATGTTACAGTAGCTCCACTAGACAGTAGTAGTACTGTGTTAAGTAGAGGAACTGTCATAGGGTTAAGTGCTGTAACCCCTACTGGCGGCCATTGTGACCCCAGTTCTACTGTAGGAGCCAGTGAAGAGTGGAAGTATGCCCAGAAGATACTTAGGAATAAGAAGATTTCTGTTACAATGAATAGTGAAACTCCCATTGTTAGTCCTTTTTGTACCATAAGTGTGTGGTCTCCCAGGTATGTTCCTTCTGTTGTTACGTCTCGGAACCATAGAATAAATGCAAATAGTGTTGCTAGGAATCCTAGTGTTACAAGAGTTGATCCGTGTGCGATACCGTTAAAGTATAGCACAGCTCCAATCATCATAGATAGCGTAGCATTAGCTGTTAGAAGAGGCCAAGGGCTAGCTTCTACAAGATGGAACGGATGAAATTGGAATTGGTATCGTGGTTGTGATACTGCGTTTGTCATAATGTGTGATAATTTATTACTAGATATGCATAAATGCATTAATTAATGTTCCCCGCGAGGAACTATAGCTACGGGATGTACTAGATAGCACTCTTTTCGCTTACTTTTAGAGATACATAAGTAGAAGAATAATCTGCAGATAAAAGCATAATATAATATGGACATTTAGGTGTAAGTAATCAAAGTGATTGTTAGGGATGCCTAGCGAATATTCATTGAAAGGAGGTGGCAACACCAAAAGCTATAGTCATCAGATATCTATAGCGATCCTAAGGGAAACCAAATACATAGTACGCAGTGAACTGAAACATCTAAGTAACTGTAGGAAAGGAAATCAACCGAGACTCCAGAAGTAGTGGCGAGCGAAACTGGACTAGCCTATTAATTTATCTCTTGACAGAATACTTTGGAATAAGTAATCCGAAGAAGGTGATAGCCCTGTACGTTAAGAATAAATAATTAAACAAGTAATGTGGGAGAAAACCTGCATGAAGATTGGGGAACCATCCTCAAAGGCTAAGTATGAATATTCAGCGATAGTGAAGAGTACCGTGAGGGAAAGGTGAAAAGAGCGTCGATGACGAGTGAAATAGATTCTGAACTAGCAATCATATAAGCAGTTAGAGCATGGTCAAAATGAAAATGTGATAACGTACCTTTTGTATAATGGATGGGCGAGTTTATAGTAGTAGCAAGGTTAATAACCCCAGCGAAAGCGACTGACTAGTAATACTAGTGCGGGACATAGTTACTATTATAAGACCCGAAACAAGATGATCTATCCTTGGCCAGACTAGTAAATAGGTCGAACGGTTCAATGTTGCAGTATTGTCCGATGAGCTGAGGATTGTAGGTGAAAGGCCAATCTGATCTTGATATAGCTGGTATTCCACGAAACGTATTTAGGTACGGCCCTTTGTGTAGATTAATGCAGGTACAGCACTGATTGCCATACTTGAGTCTGGTTCGCCAGACTTAGGTTCAATTGGGGGATCGTGAGATTCTACCATTGGTAGTTAACCTCGGAATTACATTAATTGGTCCAGAGGTGACAGACTGCTCATGATAAGGTGGGTAGTCGAGACGGAAACAGCCGTGAGCATAGAATAAAGAAGGTCCCAAAATAGTGGTTAAGTGAAATTAAGGTAGGTCGTAACTCCTATACAGCTATAAAATGTGCTTGGAAGTAGCAATTTTTTAATGAAAGTGTAACAACTTAGTAGTCTAATGAGTTATGGCGCCGAAGATTAACGGGTCTTAGACCACTTACCGAAACTATGCCGTCTAGATCTTAATGAGATATAGATAGAGTAGTGGAACATTCAGCGTGGTTGAAGGGAAGTGTTTCATTTCCTGGACATAGCTGAAGAGAAAATGCCCATATGAGTAACGTAGAAAGAAGCTATAATGCTTCTCGCCGAATGAGAGAGGGTTCCATAGAAATGTTAAACAGCTATGGGTTAAAACGGCCTCTAAGGTTTGTGGCTAATGCTACCTACTGATGAGTTTATCACAGAAAATCCAGTAATAACTGGGTCAGGAAAATAATGTGATTGATTACCGTACCCTAAACCGACACAGGTTCTCGGGTAGAGTATACTAAGGCGATGAGATAATGCTATATAAGGAACTCGGCAAACTACATCCGTACACTCGATAAGAAGGATGACCATGGCCTATTAGGTTCATGGTGGCACAAAATCGAGAGGCATAACTGTTTACCAAAAACACAGGCATCTGCTATATTGAAATAATGTTGTATAGGTGCTGAATCTTGTCCAATGCCATGAGTATAATGTTGGTGCGAGTATCGTATCTGACAGAACCTCTGGTCAATGACAGTCTTAACTATAAGGATTCTAAGGTAGCGAAATTCCTTGGCCATTAAATGTGGTCCTGCATGAATAGAGTAATAATGCCTCTGCTGTCTCATATAGTATCTCAGTGAAATTGAATTAGCCGTGAAGATGCGGTTTACGTGTGGGTAGACGGGAAGACCCTATGCAGCTTTACTATAACTAGTCGTCGTTCTGAGCCAAGTCAGGTGTAGAGTAGAAGGGAGTCGTAAGACGCAAATGAAACACCTTTACTGATTTGAGTACGGAACTTATCTGATAAAGAAACAACGACTGGCGGGTAGTTTAACTGGGACGGTTTCCTCCAATATAGTATCGGAGGACTTCAAAGGTATGCTTAAATTAGATGGAAACTAATTTGCTATGTAGAGCAAAAGAAAGTGTAAAGGCATAAGCATGCTTGACTGTAAGACTGACAAGTCGAGCAGGTACGTAAGTAGGACTTAGTGATCCGGTGATTTTGAATGGAGAAGTCATCGCTCAAGGAATAAAAGTTACGCTAGGGATAACAGGGTAATAGCGCGCGAGAGTTCATATTGTCCGCGCTGTTTGCCACCTCGATGTCGACTCACCTTATCCTTCCGGTGCATAAGCTGGAAAGGGTTCTGCTGTTCGCAGATTAAAAAGGTACGCGAGTTGGGTTCAATACGATGAGAGTCAGTATGGTTCCTATCTTCCACACGAACGAGTAATCGACTCTGGACGGGTCTTTAGTACGAAAGGACTTAGATCTGCGTTCCTATGGTGTACCAATTGTTGGCACAAAAGCTGGCATCGTTGGGTAGCTACGAACGTAAAGGATAAACGCTGAAAGCATATAAGCCTGAAGCCTACCAGAAGAGATTATATAAGGCTAGAAGTAGACTACTTCTTGATAGGTCACATGTGTACGCATCGTGAGATGTTCAGCTTAGTGATACTAATTAGCCATATTACTTACACCTACCATATTACCCCCCACATTTAGTGTATTAAGACACCAACTTAAGCACTCTAAAAGTAAGAGATGTCAGTATTAGACTACTCGTATTTATCATAGTCGATTCTGTTCAGAATTGACGCAACAACTACACACATATTATGGCAGCAGCAAAATACATCGGAGCAGGTCTAGCCGCAATCGGACTTACAGGAGCCGGAATTGGGATCGGATCAATCTTCTCATCTCTAATTTCATCAACAGCTCGAAACCCAGCGCTACGAGGGCAACTATTCACATACGCAATTCTAGGATTCGCTCTAGCAGAAGCAACTGGACTATTCGCACTTATGGTTTCATTCCTAGTACTATACTCATAGTCTTTGAATAATCATTCTTTCATCAAACCCCCTTACTCCAGTTAAAATAGGAATAAGGGTACCCGAAAACACTAAAAGTAGCGCATGTTGCAGACAACATCTATAACCTGGATAAATAAATTAATGTCCACTTTGATATATTTAGATGTTAACATAATCTTGGCAATATAGGATCGATAAAATTTAAATTATGTTTATAAAAGCATTCTTTACCTTCGGCAGTGGCCTCGGTTTGGGGCGGGGGAAATTAAAAAGAAATAGGGGAACCCTTTTTATGAAGCTATACCCGCTCGGTTATCGCCCTATTGCTAAAGCAAAACGTCTTCTAACCTCGCTCCGCTCTCTTATCTCGAGTAGTATTACTGATATTAACTGGACGTGTAGGGAAGTGTTACATCTTGTAATGATTAATGGGTGTTTATATTAGCTAACCAAATCGTCAAGAATTAACGGATAGTGCATTATAAGGGGTCAGTACCCCTAGCTCGGTAGTCGCCTGACAGCTAACGCTGATGGCTCAGTACCTCGCTACGCTCGCTAGTCTTAATATGCTTTATAGGAGTTAGCCTTATCCAGTTAAATGGTGGACTACTTGATTATCTTTAGGGGAAGGAGCGTAGCGAGTGTAGGAATTTGACGGAGTCATAAGACGCCACTCGCTTAAGTGGCATGTCGTGCTTATCCTGTATATATTGCAACATTATCACTCTACAGGGACTACTAAGGTTAGCTAGGGAACTTCTAATTCTCAAACACCAGTTCAATCCTGGTTAGTTCCATCATGACATGACTTCATAATCTAACAGATATAGGGCAGATTATGATATAAGGACACTTACGCTCTCATGTTTATTCACTGAGATCCAGGAGAAGTTAGAATGTTTTATTCTATACAATATGAATACTTTCACACTCTGTTGTCGGAGAATGATGGTTATTTTTAAGTATTATACTCTATCGCAGCTCTAAAAGAGAAGTGAGTATGGCATGTTCATATATATATTAAAAGCAAGTGTGCTGTAATGGTAGCCAGGCCATTCTTAGGAAATGGTGTTTTAACGACGTAAGAGTTCGAGTCTCTTCACTTGTATTATCTATATGGCGCCTTGATGGTAAGCATGGCAGTATTCATTGGCCATTAAATGTGGTCCTGCGTAAATAAATAAACATGTCGCCCTTAGTATAATGGCTAGTACTTCCGACTTCGAATCGGCGAAAATTGGTTCGAATCCAATAGGGCGTTATAAACAGAGAACATTGATTCAATATTACTTTGTTCAGTGATAGCATTCCATAAACATAGTGAACGCCACATAGTGAGTGTCATATAGCGGTTATTATCTCTGCCTTCCAAGTAGATGACTCCGGTTCGATTCCGGACACTCATATTATTTTCCCTTACATGATCAATATAAAAGTGTAAGTACGTTTATGTATTCCTTTGACCAGGAGATCAGAACGACCCCAACATGACTTGGATGCTTATACTTATTCTGGTGAGTTGGATGTATGTGTACATATGTTCAACAATCACTGTGTGACAATATTAGAACACTACATGTGTGTTAGTATGTTATACTTTGCTCTGACAGTAATGCTTGTTTTAGGTATCTTTTCTCTAATGACAGCCGTAGCGCTTCCTAACGTTAACATTTCTCCTGTTCTTCTAACTCGGGTAGCTTCTATTGTACTACTATACGCCGCAGCGTTATCATTTAACGCCCTTGACATCCAAGCTATTGGCTCTGGTGTAGGTATTTACAGTGGGCTATTCCAAGTATCATCGGTTTCACAATCGATTGATACATTTATCTTCCTCGTTGGTGCTATGATTCTACTACCTTGGGCTCCTGTAACTAATTCAGTTATGGCGGGCGCTCGATCTGTTTTCTCAGCAGTACCAACTATTGCAGAATACCCTTTAATGATTCTATTCACAACTTGTGGTGCAACATTCCTAGTTTCTAGTGCCGATCTTGTATCTGTATACCTAAGTATCGAACTGCAATCATTCGCAGTTTACATCTTAGCAACACTATACCGAGACTCTGAATCAGCAACTTCAGCTGGTCTTAAATACTTCCTACTAGGTGGTCTATCATCTGCACTTATCCTTCTTGGATCTGTACTGGTATACGCTTACACTGGTCTAACTAACCTAGAAAGTATCTTTACACTACTATCTGTTGGTGGTGTTGAAAACCTGACAACTGGTCTAGGACCTTGTATCATTGGACTAACAATCATGGTCGTAGGTTTCCTATTCAAAGTGAGTGCAGCACCTTTCCATAACTGGTCTCCCGACGTTTACGATGGTGTGCCAACTATTGTAACTACATGGCTAGCAATTATGCCTAAAATCTCTATCTTTGTGCTTCTACTAGAACTACAAAGTGGATTTGGTTTCACTGGTGCATCACTATCACTACTTGTCGATGGAGTTCCATTTGATGTATGGAAAAACCTACTTCTTGTATCATCACTGCTATCGCTTATTATTGGTACAGTCGTAGGACTAGCACAATACCGAATCAAACGACTATTTGCATACAGTACTATCTCACATGTGGGATTCCTACTATTAGCATTAGCCGTTAACAGTGAAGAATCAATCGAATCATTCCTGTTCTACATTGTACAATACAGTATCACTAACCTTAACGCTTTCCTTATTCTGCTAGCATTCGGATACATGCTATACTCAACAGTAGGACGTAAAGATGGATACGGAACAGATGTTCAATTTATTTCTGATCTGTCAGGTCAATTCCGAGCGAACCCTCTACTAGGACTAGCTCTAACACTAACGCTATTCAGTATGGCTGGAGTACCTCCACTTGTAGGTTTCTTCGGAAAACAAATGGTACTGTACTCTGCAGTTCATTCTGGATACTACTTTATGTCACTTGTGGCAATTATCGTTAGTGTTATCAGTGCTTCATACTACCTAAAAATTGTACGTGTAATCCATTTCGATGCCTACACAAATGTACAAGATGCGGTACAAGCACCAAAAATGACAAACGTACATAGCTTTGCTATTGCGACGCTTACAATGGCGATTACACTATTTGTGTTCAAACCTTCTATCATCTTAAATAGCACTAGTCTACTGGCTCTAACTCTATTCCACTACTAGATGAACGCACTAACAATTCTATTCCTATTCGTACCAGTATTAGTAGCAATCCTACTGATGACTAACGTACTATTAGCAGCACACCGACCGGACACAGAAAAAGTGACTGCCTACGAATGTGGGTTCTCACCTATCTACGGTCAAACACGGGCTCCATTCAGTATTCAATACTACTTAGTGGGAATCCTCTTCTTAATTTTTGATCTGGAAATTCTACTAATGTACCCTATCGCAGTAACACTATACAGTGTTTCTATTTACGGGTTCTGGATCGCCATCATTTTCTTCACTGTACTTACACTCGGTTTCGTATACGAAATCGGTACTGGAGTACTTTACTTCACTGACCAACGATCAGCTATTAACCGAACAACTATCGTTCAAGACCAATCATAGTCATATTCTCTATAATCCCCACTCACTAACTGACAATCAGTAGAAAAAGTACCACTACGAGGACACTTAATGGCCAAACAGACAATCAGTATAAAAGCACCACTACGAGGACACTTTCGGTCTATTAATGTACAGGTAGTTCCTGTAGTGTGATTGGTAAAAGAAAGCAGATGGAAGTCTATTAGGTAGGACGCTTATTTTGGGAATAAGAGGCTACAGGTTCGAGCCCTGTTCATCTGATGTAAGTGTCGAAATGTTGCCATAGCTCAACGGTTAGAGCAGGATACTGTTAATATCAAGACATAAGTTCGACTCTTATTGGTGACTCTATTTCTTGGTTGTACCTACTCGAGGCATTACGACCTCTTGTTTTTTGGCTTTAAGCTTCTCCCTTTACGCTAGAAGAACGCGTGTTTCGACATGACGTAGCCGTTTATATTATTATAGTCTCACATGAATACTTTCCTTCTTGACTTACTAGCCTTTGGTGCTGTTCTATCTGGTGTTCTTGTTATCACTTCGAAAAACCCAGTTATCTCTGTGCTATTCCTAATTTCTGTATTCGTTAATGCTGCTGGATACCTTCTACTCCTAGGTGTAGGGTTCGTTGGTATCTCATACCTTATTGTTTACGTTGGTGCTATCGCCATCCTATTCCTATTCGTTGTTATGATGCTTAACATTCAACTAACTGAAATCGTTTCAGTTGGACGAGAATACACTAAAAACCTTCCACTAGGTTTCATTGTTGGATCCCTATTCTTCTTTGAAGTGCTATCTGTACTACCTGCTTCTTACTCAGACGCAGGTGAACTACCACTTGGACTGTTCAACTACATTAACGGACTATTCCTTGGTGTAAACAGCTCATTCACTAGTTCAGATGTACACATGACATTCTCTGGACCAGGAGCTGATGACAGCTTCACAGGGTTCCTACAAATCGAAGCTATTGGACAAGGTCTATACACATACGGATCACTTTGGCTGCTACTAGGAAGTATTATCCTTCTACTAGCTATGCTAGGTCCTATCACTCTATGTATGCGATCCGCATCAGACAAATAGTCTATTATCATTTCTACAATCCCCACTCATACGTGTTAAAAGAGAACAGAGACCAAATGTGACAGAGATAACCAAAAGTGACAAGCATGCTGGAATGGTAAACAGGGACCGCTTAAGATGGTTTGTCTTAAAGATTTTCGGGTTCAAGTCCCGATGCTTGTATGAAACCATAAGTCCGAATAGACCATTTATATGGTAAAAGAGAACAAAAATGTGGTGTAGTGTAATGGCAACATACCAGTCTCATGATCTGGAGAAATGAGGTTCGATTCCTCACACCGCCTTTTTACGATCGCCTCGTTTGCACCTATATGGTACATAAATTGCTTAATTTCACTCACTCGATCCGGTTCCGCTGGATATATAAACATAACTTAACCTTTTGCCTTCACGGTATATATGATATAGACAACTAGTCTGGCTTAGGCCTTATAAGTATCAAATTACAACTCATCTTACTATGCGATTACTAAAATCACAATCACTACTAAGTCTAGTAAATAGTTATGTTGTAGATTCACCACAACCAGCTAACCTTAGCTACATGTGGAACTTTGGATCTCTACTAGCTCTTTGCCTAGGTATCCAAATTGTTACAGGTGTACTACTAGCTATGCACTACACACCTAACGTTGATCTAGCTTTCATTAGCGTAGAACACATCATGCGAGACGTAAACTACGGATGGATGATTCGATACATTCACGCAAACGTAGCTTCATTCTTCTTTATCTTTGTGTACCTACACATTGCTCGAGGACTATACTACGGTTCATACAAATCACCACGTGTACTACACTGGTCTATCGGAGTAATCATTCTTGTTCTTATGATGGCTATTGCATTCCTTGGATATGTTCTACCTTACGGTCAAATGTCTCTATGGGGAGCAACTGTTATTACTAACATGCTATCTGCTGTGCCATGGATCGGACAAGACTTCGTACAATTCATTTGGGGTGGTTTCTCTGTAAACAACGCCACACTGAACCGATTCTTCTCACTACACTTCCTACTGCCTTTCCTACTGTCAGCTCTAGCAATTGTACACATGATGACACTACACACTAACGGAAGTAGCAACCCTCTAGGTATTAGCTCAAACGTAGACAAACTAGCTATGCACCCATACTTTATCTTCAAAGATCTTGTAACTATTCTACTATTCTTCCTAGCACTTGCTGTAATTATTTTCTACCTACCTAACCTACTAGGTCACAGTGATAACTACATTCCAGCAAACCCAATGCAAACTCCGCCGTCAATTGTTCCAGAATGGTACCTACTACCATACTACGCAATTCTTCGGTCAATCCCTAACAAACTACTAGGGGTTATCGCAATGCTTGGATCACTACTTATCCTACTTCTGATGCCACTTGTGGACACATCTCGAGTACGAGGTAGCCAATTCCGACCACTAATGCGATTTGCATTCTGGGTCTTCGTTACAGACTTCTTCCTACTAATGTACATTGGTAGCCAACATGCAGAAGAACCATACATTACTATTGGAGCAATCGCTACAGGACTATACTTCGGATGGTTCCTAGTTATTGTGCCAGTTGTAGGTATCATCGAAAACACACTGATGGACATTGCTACAGACAAACAATCAGTATAGTGTATAAACACCTATTTCTATAATCCCCACTCAAACTGCTCTGATCATAATATACCCGTATGGTTCCTATTATCGTCATCAGTATGGGGCCTACTAAAAGTATATTAATTTGCATTAGTGTAAAGTAGATAAGTTTGCATCAGTATGGTTCCTATTATCACAGGTCAAGAGAGCTACATAAAAGCATAAGGTTATTAGGGGATTAGATTAGTGGTTAAATCACCATTTTTACACGATGGCTACAGCTGTTCGATTCAGCTATTCCTTATTGACTTGAATCAGATAAAAATGATTACATGTCACAAGCCAAAATGAGGACACACCTTATCGATACTATACAGATTTCATATATTGAAACGACGGTATTGGGCCTAGTATAATAATATGCTAGAGAGCAGAAACCACAGTGCTATTGTTTGCATAGTGGTATGGTAATTAAGAGTTATCATAATCTGCCGCTAATTAAGGAAATGATATTAATATAAATATGTTAGAACTACTATCACGGCTCTTTAGCCCTGTTTATTGTGACGCACCAGAACCTTGGCAAATCGGTTTCCAAGACGCTGGTAGTCCTATCGCAGAAGGAATTCAAAACCTTCACAACGAAATTTTCTTTTACCTAATTGTTATTTTCGTTGGTGTAGGATGGGTATTAGGTTCAGTTGTAGTTAACTACAGCCAAGACAAATCACCTATCGTATACAAATACGCGAACCATGGAACGTTAATCGAATTAGTGTGGACAATTACACCCGCATTCATTCTTATCGCCATCGCATTCCCATCATTTAAACTACTTTACCTTATGGATGAAGTAATTTCACCTTCTATGACAATTAAAGTTGTCGGACACCAATGGTACTGGTCTTACGAATACAGTGACTTTGTTAACGACGATGGAGAAAGTATCGAATTTGATAGCTACATGCTACCAGAATCTGATCTAGAAGACGGACAACTACGACTACTTGACGTTGATAACCGAGTTGTTGTACCTGTTGACACACACATTCGATTTGTTGTAACCGGAGCCGATGTACTACATGACTTCGCTTGCCCATCACTAGGACTGAAAATTGATTGTTGTCCAGGACGTCTGAACCAAACATCAGTGTTCATCAAACGGGAAGGAGTATTCTACGGACAATGTTCAGAACTATGTGGAGTATACCATGGATTCATGCCAATCGCAATTGAAGCTGTGTCAATGGAAAAATACCTCTCATGGCTAGATTCACAAGGATAGTTTCCCCTTTCCACCAGCACTGCTATACGCAGTTAGATAAATTGGCAAAAGCCGATTTCAATAGTGTAGGTCTCATGCGTAATGCATCATTGGTCTACACACCACAATTTCACACTTATCATGCTAGGCGCAGCTTACAACTTACTAGAAGTACTGATTGTCCTAGTACCGATCCTTCTTGCGGTAGCTTTCATGACGATCATCGAACGAAAAGTTCTTGCAGCAATGCAACGTCGTGTAGGTCCCAACAAAGTCGGTTACTACGGGATCCTGCAACCCTTCGCGGACGCTCTTAAACTAGTAGTTAAAGAAACAGTTATTCCAGCTCAAGCTACAAAAAGTCTATTCTTCTTAGCTCCTGTTATTACACTGATCTTTAGTCTACTTGGATGGGGAGTTATCCCATTCGGTGCAGGTCTAACACTCTCAGACTTCTCACTTGGTATTCTATACACACTAGCGATTTCATCAATTGGTGTGTACGGAGTACTATTCGCAGGTTGGTCAGCTAACTCTAAATATGCATTCCTAGGTTCACTTCGATCTACAGCTCAAATGATCTCATACGAACTAATTCTAAGTTCAGCGATTCTTACAGTAATCCTACTGTCTGGATCATTCAATATCATCAGCATTATCGAAAGCCAAGAAGCTATTTGGTACGTTGTTCCACTGCTACCGATGTTTATCATCTTCTTCATTTCAGCACTAGCTGAAACAAACCGGACTCCATTTGACCTGCCAGAAGCAGAATCAGAACTTGTTGCTGGATTCTTCACAGAACACAGTGGTATGATCTTCGTGTTCTTCTTCCTAGGTGAATACTGTTCTATCGTGCTTATGTCTACACTAACAGCAATCCTGTTCTTTGGTGGATACAACATGCCTGAACTATTCATTAACGATACATTCATTAATCTGCAATCTATCGTACTAGGACTGAAAACATGTGCATTCTGTTTCCTATTCGTTTGGTTCCGAGCAACACTACCACGACTCCGATACGATGCCCTTATGGTATTCTGTTGGACGGGAATGCTGCCACTAGCCATCGGGCTGGTTGTACTAGTTCCAAGTATTCTGGTAGCCTTCGATGTTACACCATACTAGTCATCATCTCTATAATCCCCACTCAATAACACCAGCATACAGGCGAAGACACAGGACTCTAAATGCAAAAAGGATTTCTATGACACTAAATAACATGACACAACATCAATAACAAAATAGATATTTTTACAAATCTGTTTCTAAAAGCATTCTTTACCTTCGGCAGTGGCCTCGGTTTGGGGCGGGGGAAAATTAAAGAAAGAAAGGGGTACCCTTTTTAAGGAACCTAATACCCGCTCGGTTATCGTCCTATTGCTAACGCAAAACGACATCTAACCTCGCTCCGCTCTGTTATCTCGAGCAGCCTTACAGATATTAGCCTGATGTACAAGAAAGTCCTACATGTTTTGAATGATTAGTGGATCTTAGTGTAACTAACCCAATCGTCAAGAATCAGGTACTATTTCAGTACCTCTAGCTCGGTAGTCGCCCGACAGCTAACGCTGATGGCTCAGTACCTCGCTAACGCTCGTTAGTCTTAGTGTAATGGTTTTAACGTGGTATTGTTATCAGGCTGACAGCTTATTTATTCTTTAGGAGAGGGAGCGTAACGAGTGTAGGAATTTGACGTAGTCATAAGACGCCACTCGCTTAAGCGGTGTAGTAGCTAACGCCCTCTAATTATGGAGAACTATCGTATTACACTACACGACTAAATAACACACATGGGGGATCCCCCCGTAGGCTTACACTTGGCGATCACTAAAAGAAGAAGGGAAAATAGCATAATTGGCAATGTACCACTTTGTCGAAGTGGATTATGGCGGTTCGAACCCGCTTTTTCTCGCTATGGCAACATATACAAGGCGTACTGATATTCAGCTGGTCTTACAGTAGTTATTTAACTACGAATGTGTTGTCTTGTAAAGTGTCCTTATGTTGACACATCACTCTGTTGCACCTTTGGTTGTGGTTTTATCCATGGCCATCCATTATAGCTTTATAAGCCTTAAGCTTATTGTTCACATTATTCCAATACCATATGGTAAAATTATATAACTATCATGACTCTTTCGCTAGTTCTATTTCTCATTGGGATTCTAGGGTTCATCCTGAACCGTAAAAACATTATCCTAATGATTATTTCCATCGAAATTATGCTTCTAGCTGTTACATTACTTGCACTAGTTAGTTCATACCAATTCGATGACATTATGGGACAAACATACGCGGTGTACATTATTGCTATTGCCGGAGCAGAATCTGCTATTGGTCTAGGTATTCTGGTAGCATACTACCGACTACGAGGTAACATTTCACTACGATCATAAATGTACCTTTCAATTCTTGCACTCCCTATGTTTGGTTCAGCAGTTGCTGGTCTATTCGGACGTAAAATCGGAGTAACAGGGGCACACATTATTACAACAGGATGTCTTGCATCTTCTGCTGTGCTTGCTATCGTAGCTTTCTACGAAGTAGGTCTTTGTGGATCACCTGTTTCTATCGAACTATTCAGTTGGATCGACTCAGAATTCATGCTTGTACAATGGGGATTCCTATTTGACAGTCTAACAGTATCTATGCTGCTACCTGTTCTTGTGGTTTCATCACTTGTACACCTATACTCTATTTCATACATGGCAGCAGATCCGCACAACCAACGGTTCTTCTCATACCTGTCTATGTTCACATTCTTCATGCTAATCCTTGTAGCTGGAGATAACTACTTTGTTATGTTTATTGGATGGGAAGGGATTGGTATCTCTTCTTACCTTCTAATTAACTTCTGGTACACTCGTATCCAAGCTAACAAATCAGGAATCAAAGCTCTTACAGTTAACCGTGTAGGTGATATGTTCCTATCTATTGGTTTCTTTGCTATCTTCTGGGTGTTCGGTAACGTTGATTACGCTACAGTATTCAGTGTTGCACCATTCATTAACGAAACAGCAATCACAATCATTGGACTTCTACTGCTAATCGGAGCTATGGCTAAATCAGCCCAAATCGGACTGCACACATGGCTACCCGACGCTATGGAAGGACCGACTCCTGTGTCAGCTCTTATTCACGCAGCTACTCTGGTAACTGCTGGGGTATACCTGATGCTACGATCATCACCTATCATCGAATACGGACCTACTGTTCTAGTAGTTATCACATGGGTTGGGGCACTAACAGCATTCTTTGCTGCTACAACAGGTCTACTACAAAATGACCTGAAACGAGTTATTGCATACTCTACATGTTCACAAATGGGTTACCTATTTATGGCTGTAGGACTATCACAATACAACGTTGCTCTATTCCACCTTGTGAACCACGCATTCTTCAAAGCTCTTCTATTCCTTGCTGCAGGGGCTGTTATTCACGGTATGGCGGACCAACAAGATCTGCGACGACTAGGTGGACTGGTAAATTTCCTACCATTCACTTACACAGCTATCCTTATTGGATCACTATCTCTAATGGCCTTCCCATTCCTAACAGGATTCTACAGTAAAGATCTAATCCTAGAAGTTGCTCTAGGACAATACGAAGTGTCTGGTAATGTTGCTTACTGGCTGGGAACTATCTCAGCTGTGTTCACAGCATTCTACTCATTCCGACTGATCTCTCTAACATTCTTCACTGTGCCTAACGCTCCTAAAGGAGATTACCTACATGCACACGAAGCAGATATGATTACTGTGATTCCACTAGTGATTCTATCTATTATGTCTATTGCGTTCGGTTACGTAGCTAAAGACCTATACGTAGGAGTAGGAACTGATTTCCTATCAGCAGCCCTATTCCAACACCCAGATCACATCTCACTGATTGAAGCAGAATTCGGACTACCTCTAGTTCTTAAACTGCTACCTGCAATCGGTAGTCTATTTGGGGCATTCCTTGCACTCTACCTATACCACTCCGTGCCAGCCTTCACAATTGGTCTAACAAACAATGTGATCGGTAAAGCACTATACAAATTCCTAAACGGAAAATGGCTATTTGATATGGCTTACAATAGCTACATCATTGGCGGTGGTCTACATGTTGGACATGTTATTTCTAAAGTAATCGACCGAGGGGTTATCGAAATGGTTGGTCCGTACGGTTTCACAGCTGTACTAACTAACGCAGGACGATCCGTAGGAAGTTACGACACAGGAGTAATCACAAGCTACGCTCTGTACATCATTCTTGGACTAATCTCTTTCATCTTCCTACTGTTTGCACCGGTACTACTACAAAGTGGTGCAGTTGACTCAGCATTCGGAGGTGACCTTGGACTAATCCTAGTATACCTAAGTGCGCTTGTATTACTACCAACAGCCAAAGCGGCTTCATCATCATAATATTATATCTTCTAAAATCCCCACTCAGCAGCACCCTAAAAGCGAAGGTGTTTAATAAAAACCAACACGTTAAATTAAAGCCTATAGTATAACGGTTAGTACACGTTGTTGATATCGACGTAGTAGAGGTTCGATTCCTCTTGGGCTTATCTTTATTTATAAGTACAAATTCACAGATTATCATCCGTTAAATATTTAACCACATAAGCTAATATTACAGAGCTTACGAGTGGGCTCGTACTCGGATTGCAAATCTGGCGTGTTAGGGTTCAATTCCCTTTAAGCTCTAACAGAGGGGTGTAGTATAACGGTTAGTATAGAGATCTCCAAAGTCTTAGGCGGTGGTTCGATTCCATTCACCCCTGTATACAAAAGGATAATGCGTCTAATAATAATTTCTAGTTACACAAAAGCATTGTGTGCGAGACGGTTACACAAAGGTAAGTCACATGTAAAAGCGACAGTGCAAAATAATAGCCTATACTGCATTACAATAAAGACGCTATCGTATAATGGTTAATACACTTGCCCTTCACGCAGGGTATGCGGGTTCGATTCCCGCTAGCGTTATTAATTATCTGCCCGCATAGTTAAATGGTATAACGCGAATCTTGTAAATTCGAGTTTGTGGTTCGATTCCATATGTAGGCATAGAGTCTAAATAATGTAACGGATTATAACACCTTTTAGAAGCAGGTCTACTATGACAAGGTTTAAAAGCACAAGTTCACTCTTTGTTTATATCAGATTGTCTTTAGATTAGGTTGAACCATGGAGTAATGGGAAACTCAACTGTTTTTGGTACAGTGGATATTTGTTCGATTCAAATTGGTTCAGTAAATAACACTAGAGAACTTGTCTGTTAATTTGAACACATACAGGGAGTATAGCTCAGTTGGTAGAGCAGTTGACTTTTAATCAACCGGTTATAGGTTCGATCCCTATTGCTCTCATCCAGATAAGCATACGAGAGAAGACATATGATATCTCTATACGGTATTGTATTATAGGAAGGACACAACTATGGCGAGGTGGATCTGGTTGCTAACTGGACGGGACTCAGTCCCTTATGGGTTCGACTCCCATTCCTTCCGTTATTATATCGTTTATTATATTCACTTACGCCTTCGCTTAAGTTAGTATTATGAGTGGGGATTATAAGAGTGGATAATTAGACGACTGCTCGTTGCACGATCCATACTTTGACTGTAAAGGCTCCTTTTTTGTTTTTAGCAGTAAAGGATGCTTGATCTACTAGTGCTAGGTTATTTTTAGCAAATGAACCTACTTGTGCTGTTTGCACTGTTTGTCGTGGCCGTGATCGTTCCATCATTAATCGTCCTGATACACGTACTTTGATACCTACAATATGTGAAGGTAGTTCGCTAGCTAGTGCATTAAGAGATTCTGTATTTTTAACAGGTGAAATAGAACCAAAGATACGTCGTACAATTTGTACTAGTGTGTAATCTTGTGTGTTCATTGCGATGTATTGGGCTAAGATGTTACTGTCTAGATATGGGTAATGTAGTTTAACTAGTCGTAGGCTTACAGGTCGTCCAAATAGTGAACTTAGTGCAGTACCTAGATTATTAACTGTATTGCTGTTAAGTGCTTGGTTTACCACAGGAATGTAGTAAAAGACATGTACTACTACAGCGTCAGATTTAACAGTAAATACTGGTTTACCTGCTAGAGCATTAATAGGTGAGAAGAAGTGTGAAATTAATTTAGTTGCGCTACGTGTAGCATTAAGCATATTTGCACTCTCTGCCCCTTTATCAAAGCTGTAGCTAGTTGTTAGTCCGTCTGGTAAGAAGTATTTTGCCAGGCTTTGTGTTAAGATGTTTTTCATGTTAGTGTTATATTGTTTTATGTGTATGACCATTCCAAAGAAGATTTATCTCCTCTCTTTTAGGTCGTATCGTGTAAGCCGAAAAAAGGACTTGAACCTTTGTCTTACCGTTATGAGTGGTAGGTTTTAACCGGCTAAACTATTTCAGCGAAAGGGGATAAGTCTACTAATAGGCCAAATTTTGTATACTAGCTGATTAAATCTACGTACCTATATTATATAGGGGCCTTACATGGGAGTTCATTTCACAATGTAGATATGTACACTGAGTGTGTAAATATTCTTGGTCATTAGATGTTTTCTGTGCCATTACCACAGCTCTTGCCGTTCAGTACCTACAGACATGTAATAATCGGCCTCAGACCTTCCTAACAAGACATTATGTCTTATCCAGCTATAAGTATCTCATCCCTTACTTTTACAGTATTAACGGGATTGTTTAAGGGCAAAACCACAGAATCGAACTGAGGTATCTTCAACCACAATGAAGCGTTCTACCATTGAACTAGAATTACCTCTATTGCTTTTATTCGGATGTACTAGTTCATTCTTAAGTAAAGTGTATCATGCGTACCATGATTGGCATATATTATAGTGTTAACGATTGAGACGGGCAGGACTTGAACCTACAGTGAATTAGATTCGACCGGTTTACAGCCGGCTGCATTACCAATTATGCGTACCTTCTCCTTGTCTAACATACACACTAGAGAATGCTTTGAGCAGGACTTGAACCCACTCCCCAGAAGCTTCAGTTCTGTGCTCTACCAGTTGAGCTATCGAAGCTTTGTTGTACTATAAACAATGGAGAAATAGGGACTCGAACCCTAACGTCTGTGATGCAAACACAGAATACTAGCCTTTATATTATTTCCCCTTCTCTTTTAGTTATACCACGCATGTGACTGCTCTACTACAGTAAGTGTAAAAATGTTGGTATTACAACGCCATGACACAATAAGTACTGGATTCATGGGGGGCTAATCAGTCTAATATGAGAGCGTAGCGAGGTTTGGAGATACACTGCGGGCAGTAGCACGCGTATGTCGACTACCGAGCGTATTCTGAGAGTGCCACTATCGGGATAAGTGTTACCTAACTAACCATTCTCTAGCGAGTGGCGTCTTATGACTACGTCAAATTCCTACACTCGCTACGCTCCTTCCCCTAAAGATAATAATGTTGTCCAGTATCTGACCAGATAAAGTTATTTCCATTGAAACATGTTATAGATACCCTTAATAATGTTAAATGGATACGAGTTTCTTATACATCAGGTTAATAAGGCTGGTTGAGACGACCAGAGCGGAGCGAGGTAGTGAGCCGTTTTGCGTTAGCAATAGGGCGACTACCGAGCGGGTATACCCTATGCCCGTTAAAAAGGGTACCCCTATTTCTTTTTTAATTTCCCCCCGCCCCAAACCGAGGCCACTGCCGAAGGTAAAGAATGCTTTTATAAACATAAATTTAATTTAGAGTTATTGTCAACATTATCATACTCAATATTTTACATATGATTTGTTCAGATGGAGTGGGGATTATATAGTGTAATATTGTTGAGAGCAATATAATGGTGTGTAGGAGTATCATCCCGAAGATTACACATAGGTGTGGTTATCTTAATATGGAGTGCGACTATTTGCCACCTAGAGCATCAACAGCTGCTTCAATGTTAGTTAGATCAGCCACTGGTTCTACTGCGTATAGTAGTTGTGTTACTGCTACGTGTAGATCGGTGAAAATAACATTAGGCATGATACCGAAGATTAGGGCAACTAGTAGCATAGGTAGTACTAACATGAATTCTCGTCGTGAGATATCTGTAGTGAATGATAGGTATTGTGAGTATGCTCCAAATGACAGTCGGTTGAACAGGAAGATACTGTAACAAGCTGACAGCACGATACTTGATGCACCTAGTACACCAATGATTGGGCTTTTTTGGAAGATACCTGCAAGACTTAGTGCTTCACCTACCCAGTTCAGAGATAGTGGTACAGCCATGTTGAATGCTGTAGTGATGAAGAACATAGCAACAAACACTGGCATGTATACTGCTAGACCACGGTAGTATCGGATAGTTCGTGTGTGGTGAACATCGTAAAGTACTCCTCCTACTAGTGCGAACATAGCAGGTGAGATAACTCCGTGAGCAATAGATAGTGCAATAGCTCCTTCGATACCAACAATAGTGTTAGAGAATAGTCCTAAGATCACGATTGCCATGTGACCAATAGATGAGTACGCAACTAGAGCTTTGAAGTCTGTTTGTCGTAGTGTTGCTAGAGATGAGTAAATCAGAGTTACAACAGCCATTGTTTGCACTAATGGTGAGAAGTATGATGTAGCATCCGGTAGCATTGTAATAAGGATACGTAGGTACCCGTATGTAGCTAGTTTTAGGAACAGAGCTGCTAGTAGAATAGATGCACCTAATGGAGCTTCAGCATGTGCCCGCGGTAGCCAGATATGGAAGGGTACCATAGGTGATTTAACCGCTAGTGATAGGAAGAATCCAAGCCATAGCACTTTTTGAGCATCTAGACTCATGTTTGATAGTGATACCACTGTGAAGTCTGTGCTTCCAATGTTGTAGTAGATAACCATAATAGACAGTAGCATAAATAGTGATCCAGCTAGTGTGTATAGGAATAGAAGGAATGAAGCTCGAATTCGAGTAACAGAACCTCCCCAAATACCTACAACAAGGAACATAGGAATAAGTACAGATTCGAAGAAAATGTAGAATAGCATTAGATCTAGCACTACGAATACAGCAATAAGTAGTGTTTCCATTAATAGAAAGGCAATAAGGAAGTATTTCATTCCGAATTTAATGTTATCCCAGTTAGATAGGATACATAGCGGTGTGATGAATGTAGTTAGTAGTACAAAGTATAGACTAATACCATCAATACCGATGTTTAGATGACAGAAGCTTAGAGTGTTGAATTCTTGAACAAATTGGTATTGTAGAGAGCTTGAGTCAAATTCACCCCATAGAACAATGGATACAATAAAGTTTACCATAGATGTCGTAAGTGCGATTTGTTTCATTCGTGTAACACCTGACTCTTCGCTAATAGGAAGGAGTGCAAGCGAACCAATGAGAGGGATAAGAAGTAGAGCTGATAGCATGATTTGTGTTAATATATATTGGACCTTAAATTAATTTTGATGTGATTATAGT